GGGAGGGTGGGGGACGACCCCCCAAGTATTTTTTTCCCCGGGAAAATAGTTTTTAATGTTGATGAACGACCAGTGTTTATTTCTTAACTGACGTTCGTTCTGTTTTGAACTTAAAAAACTATTCAGAACACTGTGTTCGACCCGTGCTTCATCACCGAATGCTTGCTGAAGCATTTTGTGAGTTTCAACAGCCATTTTACCAACTTGAAGCAGAGCTTCACACATACACATTCTGTTGTTTCTTTTAAAGATTCCTTTCTGTTACACAAAAAATCGCAGCCACGCGCTGATAACACGACAAAAAATGCCTGTCTTACCTGAACGGAATAACCAACCACATTGAAACTCGCCACATTACTTCACACAGGAGCGTACTGCGCAGGTTGACCTGCGATGCCGCCATATTTTACCTAGGAACCGCATGAAAATTCCAGTCTGGAAGCATTTTGATAGCACTTCGTACCTTTTTTATCAATGGAGCACTCGATTATATATATACATATAAACATATAATATATATATATTATAAAATATATATAATATATATATATATATATATAATATATATATATATATATATAAAATATATATATATATATATGTCTGTCTCATAAACATGCTAGATAACAGGGATATCTTGCTACTCCTACTTACACTTTGTCCCAAACTTCACAGACACGCACATGCATATATATATACATACATCTAGGTTTTCTCCTTTTTCTAAATAGCTCTTTTTTCCTCTTTATTTCTTCTATTGTCCATGGGGAAGTGGAAAAGAATCTTTCCCCGTAAGCCATGCGTGTCGTATGAGGCGACTAAAATACCGGGAGCAATGGGCTAGAAAACCCCTTCTCTGTAGACATTTACTAAAAAAGAGAAGAAGAAAAACTTTATAAAACTGGGATGCTTAAATGTGCGTGGATGTAGTGGGGATGACAAGAAACAGATGTTTGCTGATGTTATGAAATGAAAAGAATTTGGGATGTCCTGGCCCTAAGTGAAAAAAAGCTGAAGGGGTAGGGAGTTTCGGTGGGGGGAAATAAATGGGATTAAATCTGGAGTATCTGAGAGAGTTAGAGCAAAGGAAGGGGTAGCAGTAATGTTGAAAAGATCAGTTATGGAAGGAGAAAAGAGAATATGAATGTGTAAATTCAAGAATTATGTGGATTAAAGTAAAGGTTGGATGCGAGAAGTGGGTCATAATAAGCGTGTATGCACCTGGAGAAGAGAGGAATGCAGAGGAGAGAGAGAGATTTTGGGGATGTTAAGTGAATGTATAGGAGCCTTTGAACCAAGTGAGAGATAATTGTGGTGGGGGACCTGAATGCTAAAAGTTTAGAGTATGTAGGAAAGAGGGAAATTATTTCCCAGTTAAAAGTAGGCCTTAGACAAGGATGTGTGATGTCACCGTGGTTGTTTAATATATTTATAGATGGGGTTGTAAGAGAAGTAAATGCGAGGGTCTTGGCAAGAGGCGTGGAGTTAAAAGATAAAGAATACACATAAAGTGGGGTTGTCACAGTTGCTCTTTGCTGATGACACGGGTGCTCTTGGGAGATTCTGAAGAGAAGCTGCAGAGGTTGGTGGATGAATTTGGTAGGGTGTGCAAATAAGAAAAATTAAAAGTGAATACAGGAAAGAGTAAGGTAATGAGGATAACAAAAAGATTGGTGATGAAAGATTGGATATCAGTTGGAAGGAGAGAGTATGGAGGGGGGTGAATGTATTCAGATATTTGGGAGTGGACGTGTCAGCGGTGGTTCTGAAAGATGAGGTGAATCATAGAATTGATGAGGGAAAAGGGTGAGTGGTGCACTTAGGAGTCTGTGGAGACAAAAAAACTTTGTCCTTGGAGGCAAAGAGGGGAATGTAGAGAGTATAGTTTTACCAACGCTCTTATATGGGTGTGAAGCATGGGTGATGAATGTTGCAGCGAGGAGAAGGCTGGTGGCAGTTTGGGGATGTCATGTTGAGGGCAATGTGTGGTGTGAATTAATGCAGAGAATTCGTAGTTTGGAAGTTAGAAGGAGATGCAGGATTACCAAAACTGTTGTCCAGAGGGCTGAGGAAGGGTTTTTGAGGTGGTTCGGACATGTAGAGAGAATGGAGCGAAACAGAGTGACTTCAAGAGTGTATCAGTCTGTAGTGGAAGGAAGGCGGGGTAGGGGTGGGCCTAGGAAAGGTTGGAGGGAGGGGTAAAGGAGGTTTTGTGTGCGAGGGCTTGGACTTTCCAGCAGGCATGCGTGAGCGTGTTTGATAGGAGTGAATGGAGAAAAATGGTTTTTATACTTGATGTGCTGTTGGAAGTGTGGCAAATTAACATTTATAAAGGGGGTTCAGGAAACCGGCGGGCCGGACTTGAGTCCTGGAGAGGGAAGTACATGCCTGCACTCTGAAGGAGGGGTGTTATGTTGCAGTTTAAAACTGTAGTGAAAAGCACCCTTCTGGCAAGACAGTGATGGAATGAATGATGGTGAAAATTTTTTTTTTTTTCGGGCCACCCTGCCTTGGTGGGAATCGGCCAGTGTGATAATAATAATAATATCATATATATATATATATATATATATATATATTTTATATATATATATAATTTTATATATATATGTATGTATATATATATATATATATATATATATTTATATATATATAATATAAAATATATTTTATATATTTAATATATATATGTATATATATTTTTATATTTATATATATATATATATATATATTATATTATATATTTTAAATATATATATATATATATAATTATATATATATGTCTTTGCCGAAAGGCAGAACTTGCGATCTTGGCTTAAATAGCAACGTTCATCTTGTCATATAGGACAAGTGAAAATTTGTGTATGCAGTAATTTCGCCAAAATCATTCTGAACCTAACGAAAAAAAATATATTTCACTGTGTTTGTTTTTTTTTAAATTACTGTAAACAAATCTAAAATATATTTAGTTGGGTTAGGGTAAAATAAATTGTTCTTGTTATAATAAGGTTAGGTAAGTTTTCTAAGATTCTTTCGGTGCAAATTAAAAATTTTACATTAACATTAATGAAAAATATATCTTTAAACGTATAAGAGAAAATTTTAGAAAGGACTTAATTTTAAATGAGTTCTTGCTAACTGACCAGTTTTACATATTTGGCACGACATTATATATATATATATATATATTATATATATATATATATATATATATATATATATATTATATATATATATATATATATAGACAGATATAGTGTGTGTGTCGTGCCGAATAGGTAAAAATTGAGATTTTGGCTTAAATATTAATGCTCTTCTTGCCGAATAAGGCAAGCGAAAATTTGTGCCTGCAATAATTTCGCAAAAATAATTTTGAACCTAACGATAAAATATATTTCATTGTGTTTATTATTAAATTATTGTAAACTTATCTAAAGTATATTTAGTTGGATTAGTCTAAATTAAATTACGCTTGTTATGATAGGGTTACGTAAATTATCTAAGGTTCTTGTGGTACAAAATTATTAATTTTTACGTTAACATAAATGAAAAAAATATATCTTTCAACGTATTAGAGAAATTTATAGAAAGGCCTTAATTTTAAAAGAGTTCTTGCTAACTGACCAATTTTATCTGTTAACACATCGGCCGTTTCCCACCAAGGTAGGGCGGCCCGAAAAAAAAAACTTCCACCGTCCTTCACTCCATCACTTACACTACAGTTATAAAACTGCAACATTAACACCCGTCCTTTCCCTTTCCATGACTGAAGTCCAGCCTGCCGGTTTCTCTGAATCCCTTCATAAATAGACCAGGAGGCCTGCTGCAGTGTTCCTCCAGTTTTATGTTTTTTATGAATTTAAATGCACAGTACCATGGCTAGAATAAAGCAAAAAAAAATCTACAAACTGAAAATAAAAATATACGATATTTGGTCCATCCTGGACCATTACCCCTCGTGACCAGTGAAATGTCATGGACGGACCAATATTTTTCCAATTTCTATTTCCGGTTTGTAGGAATGTTGTGAATTATTCTGAAGAGAGATGGAAGAAGTGGTGAGGTAACATACTTGAAGATATTAATGAATACATCACCGACGTCTGCCACGTTTAGGCAGTCGTATGGGGCTGCACCAGTGGCAGAGTTGTAAGGCTTCAGGAGGACTGACTCACAGCGGATCTGACGAGGTCCCAGACGTGTTCCACTCCTGTTAGACGCACCAATATCCAGAGGAACACCCACGAAACACGCGTCCAAACCTGATATATCTCTTTATTACCTACACATTTAGGTACTTTATCTGCAGTTAAGTATATTATCTCTACAGTTGGGTGCACCGTATATTGATTACAACACATGTGCAACAGTTGGGTATCTTTATTGTTGAAACGCTTCTCCTACACACTAGGCTTCTTTAGTCAAATACAGAGGCAGCAGGTGTAGTAGTGAAATGAAGATGAAATCAGTTTATCAACTTGGAGAAAAAATATTTGAGATGGTCAGTCCCTGAGCCTGGAGAAAAGTTCAGCTCCATGGTCTGGAAAGATATGAAGCTGAATGTGTGTCTTTGATTCGACAGGAACTGCATCCTGACACCAAGACCGGGGTCCTGATTGAAGCATGAGAATGGAATCTTAAATACTGTCGAAGGTGAGATGGAAGATCTCGAAGATGTTGCAAGGGACGGGATTAACTAGTAGAAGCAAGAAGGCAGGTCCCTCTGGAATCCAACCCTTCTCACTCACAACTAATAGATACGAGATGAAATTTGGAAGATGTCTTTTGTATCGCCTACTCAGTAGACTTCTTCAGTCAAATACACCTGCTGCCTCTGTAATGTCATGACCTACTGAGGTAACCTGCATTAATTTCTTTGAGAGTGCTGAAGTAGAATGTTTAATTTGCAAGATTTGCCATTTTGTTTGGCACAAAGTAAATAACTCATTGTTCGTCACTAGTAATCATCCTATTAAAAACTTCCGAGTTCGTGAAAAAAATTTACATCTCTCGAAAAAGAAATTCATTTTGAGTACAATGAGGATTTTTTCTAATTGCCTTTACTGACAGTCTTCTTCCTTATGTGTCGAAAATCAGTACTAATCGCCTGGACTGAGCAATTTTTGTGTACTCACCTAGTTGAGGTTGCAGAGGTCGAGTCCTAGCTCCTGACCCTGGCTCCTGTGTGTGTACAGGCTGGAAGCTGTACAGTGTACACTCACTTTCATATTAATACAAATAAATAGACCCAATATAGTTAGTTACCTTGCGTGTCGCTCTGGACGGGTAGCCGCATGAAGGAAGCGATGCCTCCTAGACGTGTCATTTCATCTACGGTCAGCGGTTTGTTAAGATTGTTTCTTGAGCTGGCTTGACAAGTGACGGAGAGGTGAAAGGACCTGGCTACATTTGCTCCACACTTGCTGCCTCCAACACTTACGCTGCTTCCATCAAATACTACTGCACACCTGGTACCTCCCACACCTGCTACTCCACATCTGGTGCCTCCCAAACCTGTTGCCACCACACTCCGCAGACTTCTCCACATGGTGGTCGCGTTTGTCCTGCAATCATGACATCTTTGAGACCTGTTGATGATGTTAAGTGTGAAGATCTTTATTGATACAGCGTTTCACCCACAGGTGGGCATTTTCAAGTAACTGAAAAAGCCCACAGCAGGTGAAACGTTGTACCAATGAAGGACTGGTTTAAGATTGGAAAACTTATGCGATATGGGGAAACTTTATTCGGAAACTTTTTTCCCCCCATGGCTTCATCAGTCCCAAAACAAAAGGAAGGCGTTAAAAGGGGAAAGGGGGAGAATGAGGTAATCGTCCCCCACCCGGAGTCGATGTGTTCAGGTTTCCCTCAATCTTGTAGAATGTCAGCATAGGGCCGTAGAAGTGGCTTATAACGTAGTGGGGGTGACGTGGCAATGGAGGCGGGGGATAGGGGACCTCCCCTAGTCGAAGAGGCTTCGTCCAAAAGGGTTTAACAAATGTTGAAGAATTCTTTTAAAAAAGACCCCCTGATCTGCCGTGTCCCGACAGTTGTGAGAATGGTTTGAAAAACCGACAATTGAAGATTTGGGGCATTATGCAGCATATGGGAATTTTATTCAGGAAAACGTTTCGCCCCACAGTGGGTTCATCAGTCCCCAAAAAAGAGGGAAAGGGGTAAGGAGAGGAGGGGAATGAGGAATCAGTCCCCAACCCGGAGTCGATGTGTTCCCTTTCCCTCAAACTTTTAGAAAGTACAGCATAGGGGCCCTAGACGGCTTATATATGTTGAGGTGACGTGAACAGAAGGAGGCGGGGGCATGTGGTACCTCCCCTATCGAAGTAGGTCTTCGTCCAAAGGGTTTAACAAGTTTGAAGAATTCTTTGTAACAAGACCCCATATGCTGCCTGTCTGACAGTGTCTAATCTTTAACTTGTCGGTTTTTCAAACCATTCATACAACTGTCAGACACGGCAGCATCATGGGGTCTTTTACAAAGAATTTTTTCAACACTTGTTCAACCCTTTTGGGCGAAAACCTACTTGATAGTGGATGGTACCCCATGACCCCGCCTCCATCTGCTTCAGTCACCTCACTACAGTATATAAGCCACGTCTACGGCCCATCTGTACATTCACAAGATTGATGGACTAAAACACATCGACTCCAGGTTGAGGGGATGATTACCTCATTTCCTCCTCCCCTTACCCCTTCCTTTTTGTATTGGGCTGATGAACCACTGTGGGCGAAACTTTTCCCTAAATAAAGATTCCCATATGCGCATAGTGTCTCAATTTAAACTTGTGGGTTTTTTCAAACCATTATCACAAGGCTGGTTGTTTGCTGATGACAAAATTTCACACCCCCGGATTCTCCAACACCCAAAACATTCTTAACATGACTAGCCTCGTGTAGGCCGGGGGTTAATAATCTGGGGGGATAAAACAAAGATACTCAACGGGCCCCTCCTCGGCAAGAGGCAATTTCGTCAGATCCAGTTGCATGAGGGGTCTCTTCTAAATATGTAAGCAATACGGGTATCTAGCTTTGAGGTTCCATACTTGGCCCTGTTTGAAACGAGACTTTGCCCGCCAATACAAAGAAAGGCTGAGAGCCTTAGAGTTGTGGCAGGTTTTTTCACCCCGGTTGGTGTAATGTTAAAATTGTGAAAATGTTATCTTGTTATATTAATCTTTGGGTTTGATTAGGGCCCACTATTTGCACCGTGTCTACGGGAAGCTTGGAGGGCGGGAAAAAACTGCAAAAACGAAGCAATGAGGATCATCCTAGGAGCCCTCGTACTCCCCAAAAATTTTAAATATGGGGAAAGAACTTAATATTCCCCAAGCTTAGGATGGGTTTACTGAAAGAAATATCCTTATTGGGTCAATATTTAGGCACCCATTCAAACCCCTGCACAGAAGCCCTCCAAAAATTTTCCTCACACGGGTGAACACCCTTTCCCAAGGATCAAAAAAACTGGAACCGACCTCCGCATGAACCAGCTCATGATCTATACAAGTTAGAAAAACAGAGACATTTTCCCCGCTCCATGGGAAAATTTCCCATTTTAAACTACCCTTCCTCCATTTCCCCCCCAAAAACCCTTTTTAAATCACAACCCAAAACTTCGTTTGAAGCAGACATATGCCCCTTTAACTGTATTGAAACTTAGTCACACAAACACTCTTTCACAAATTTTTTACGTCATGGTTCTGTTCACCCGTCCCCGGGGCGCTGGTAGTCTGCGTTTTCACACAGAGTGATGGCTCTCATAAAGAAATTGGAGCACGCATCAATAATGGGGCCCCACCCCTTTAACAGAACTGTTTGCCATACTCCCCTTTCACTAAAAAGTTCCATGTATCTAAGGGTTTACACTTTAATTGTAACTAATTTCTGTCATCCATAAATGCCTCAAACCCTTAAGTATAAATTTGGGATCTTGTGTCAGAAAACCAGACAAGATTGGTAAAATTTTGGGAAAGGGGGTCAGAGGACATGCTGTGGATTCCATCTCACTTGGTCTTCAGATGCATGAAGAATGAAAAATTTTGGGAAGCTTTTGCTTTCAAAGAGGGGGGAGATTACAATCTTGGTTGCAGTTAGCATTTGGGAAAAAATAAACAAAAAAACTTCAAATGAACTTTATTGACTAAGATTAGGGAGATTGAACAATCAGCCATCTATCTCATTCCATCATGCAGGGGGAGCCCATTCTAGGTGCATCCAAAAAAGATAAGGAAATCTTGGGTGTCATACTGCTCGGGTCCGCTGGGTTACAAGTTCTATGGCAGGTTAAATCACCACCCCCCAGATGTGACCAAACGAAATGTAAACTTTGCCAATGGACTTTTGTCCACCTTCGTAATGTACTGAGTGTGATCAAATTTATAAAATTTAGAACAACCCCACTCAGAAATTTTCAAAAATGGAAAAGTATTTTTATCCACAGTGGAAAAATTAAGACCTTTCTGGAGAAATCCCCCCCTGATTTTGCACTGAAAATAAAGCATTCCCACATGTGTCATGTGTTAGTTACCTTTTTTTACCTTTTTGTCCTAGGCACATGCATTACACGGGGCCTGCTTTTTAATCTAGTGTGTGTGTGCATGTGTGTAGTGTGTGGTGTGTTTTGTGTGTATGTTGGGGGGTGTGTGTGTTTTGTGTATGTGTATGTGTTGATAGTGTTGTATGTGTGGTGAGTAGTGTGTGTATGTGTGGGAGTAGAGTGTGTATTGTGTTGAGTATGTGTTATGTGTGAGTTGGTGTTTTGGGGTTAGTGTGTGTGTTTGTGTGTGTGGTTTTGGCTCGTATTTTGGTTGCAGGGGTCGAGGCACAGCCCTGGCCCCGCCCTTCGCTGTTTGCTATAGGTCCCCTCTCCCCCCCCCATGAGTGTGTGTGTGTGTGTTGTGTGTGTGTTGTGTGGTGTGTGGTGGGGGTGTGTGTGTGTGGTGGTGTGTGTTTTTGGCGTGTGTGGTGTTTGTGTGTGTGTCTGTGTGTTTTTTCCTGTGTTTTTGTTGTGTACTACCTTTTTGTACTCACCTTTTTGGGTTGCGGGTCGATCCAGCCCTGGCCCCCCTCTTCCCCGTTGCTACTAGACCCTCTCTTCCCCCGCTCCAGAGCTTTATCAAACCTCGCTTAAAACTGTGTATTTTCCCGGGGCCCTCCACTACTTCATTTTAGGCTTTTCCCACGCCTTACAACTCTATGACTGAAGAAATATTTCCCCTATATCTTTAATTTTTTGTGTCTTAAAACTTCCAATTGTGGCCTCTTGTTTCTGTGTCCCCCCCCCTGGAAATCCTGTCCTTGTCCACCTTTTCTTTCCACCAGATTTTATTGTCGTTTCATGTCTCGTGTGTGTGTCTGGTGTGTTGTTGGGCTGTGTGTTTTGTCTGTTGTGGTGTGTCTGGGGGTGTTGTATTGTGTGTCTGCGTGTGTTGTGTGTGTGTGGTGTGTGGTTTGTGTGTGTTGTTTGTGTGTGTGTGTGTGTGTTTTTATTTTACCATTTTGCCCAGGACTGTCGTTTAGACACTAGGCCCTTTTTTTATATGATAGTGTGCGGTGTGTGTGTGTGTGTTGTGTTATTCCATTTTGTCCTAGGCACATGCGATTAGACACGGGCCTTTTGTAAGAGAAATTACCACCTCACCTAGTTTACTCACCTAGTTGATTTGCAGGAGTCGAGTCCAACTCCGGCCCCGCCTCCACTGTCACTGCGGGGTCTCACTCCCTAAAACCAGAGCTTTTCTACCTTTTCTTAAACTATGTAGGATCCTGCCTCCATACATCGCTTCCCAAACTATTCCACTTCCTGACTACTCTGGGGGCTGAAGAAATACTTCCAACCCCCTTTTGTTTCATCTGTGTCTTCAGCTTCCAATTGTCCCTGTGTTGCGGGCCCATCTCGGGAACTCCTGTCTTTTCCCCCTTGTAAATTTTCCCTCTCAGTAATTTGTAATCGTTATCACCCCCCCTATCTCCCCTTCCCCCAGTGCGTCAGGTTGTTTTCCCCTTTAAACCTCTCCTCATAGACATACCTCTTAACTCTGGTTTAAGTTTTTGAAAACCTTGCATTTCCTAGTTTCTTTACATTTTGGGCTAGGTGGGGGTTTCCAAACTGGTGCCGATACCAATATGGGCCTAATGTCGGAATGTTTTTTCTGGGTTTCCCCAGGCGCCATATCTGCGCTTTTATTTGGTTGTGTGCGTTTCGGAGATGTCCCGGTGTTATCTCACCCAAGTTTTAAAAATATATAAAAATTTAATATAATATTATATATATATATATATATATATATTTTTTATGTCGTCCCGAATATGTAAAACTTGAATTTTGGGCCTAAATAGCACGTTCATCTTGCCATTGGACAACAAAAATTTCTGTAATGCATAATTTCGCAAAAATCATTCTGAAGCAAACGAAAAATAATTTTTTCATTGTGTTTTTTTTAGTTTTAAAAAAAAAATTATTGAAACGTTTTTAAAATTTTTTATTGGGTTAGGCAAAAATAAATTGCACTTGTTATTATAATTTAGGAAAAGTTTTCTAAGGTGGAAAATATAAAGAAATTTTTTCCGAAAATGTGTATTTGTTGTAAATTAAAAAATTTTGTATTTAATAAAAAATTTTTAAAAAAATGGGAATTCGGGCCTTAGGGGACGCCAGGAAGAGTCGCCATTTTTTTTTTAAATGACCAAAAAACGTTAGTGAAAATAAAAGAATTTTCGTCGCTCTAGAGGTTAATTGGGGGTTTACACCTCCAAAAAGGAGCTGAAATTGTTGGAAGTGATTTCTGCATAAATTGAATTAAAAACGATGTACAGGACGCTCCGGAACCCAGATAAGCTTCAAAAAATGTTTGTAATTTGGCCCGTATTTATCGTAAATTTAGTTTTGGGGGGGGGTTTTTTTATATTATACACAGTAATCTCCAGACTAAAGGGGGAGTGTTTGATTATAAAATTTTCCTTTTGTTAAATAAATGTGTATATTAATATTTATTAATTTTAAATACAGTCCAAAAAATTATAATTTTTCCCGAATTCCCCGGGTGTAGTACATTTTTATTTTCTATAGGGCAGAGCAACTTGTGGAGAGATAGATGGTAAATATCGAAGGGGGACATTTTTGCACCCAGGTGTCCTAAAAAACCTACTTGTCCCCTGAACTTTGTAAATATTAATTATCTTTGTTCCATTTTCTTGTATTAAGTAAAAGACTCATCCAGGTAAATGTAATTTTCCATCTAAGTTCTTGTGAAATTATATTTTACATTAACCTAATGAAAAATATATCTTAACGATAAGAGAAATTTTAGAAAACTTAATTTTAAATGAGTTCTTGCTAACTGACCAGTATATATATATATATATATATATATAGACATTTATATATATATATATATATTAATGTCGTGCCGAATAGGCAGAACTTGCGATCTTGGCTTAAATAGCAACGATCATCTTGCATATGGGACAAGTGAAAATTTGTGTATGCAATAATTTCGCCAAAATCATTCTGAATCTAACGAAAAAAATATATTTCACTGTTTTTGTTTAGTATTAAATTATTGTAAACAAATCTAAAATACATTTAGTTGGGTTAGGCTAAAATAAATTGTTCTTGTTAAATAAGGTTAGGTAAGTTTTTTAAGATTCTTTTGGTGCAAAATTAAAAATTTTTACATTAACATTAATGAAAAAATATATCTTTAAACGTATAAGAGAAAATTATCGATAGGACTTAATTTTAAATGAGTTCTTGCTAATTGACAGTTTTGTATATTCGGCCCGACACACACACACACACACACACACACAAATAAATATATATATAAATATAATATATATATATATATATATATAATATATATATTATATAATATATATTATATATGTATATGTATATATATATATATATATATATATATATATATATATATATATATAATATATATATATATATATATATATATATATATTTATATATATATGTATATATATTATATGTGTGTGTGTGTGTGTTGTGTGTGTGTGTGTTGTGTGTGGTGTGTGTGGTATGTACTCTAAGTACTCCCCTATGTCTCAAGACCGACTCGACTTACCAGTAACTGACTAAACGTCCTCAAATAATCTATCTTCCTGAGCAATCTGGCAATCAGAACAGGTTGCTTGAACAGTACAGCGACCATTCGCCAAGAGCAATAAAGTCACAAGCAGCAGCAGCATGGAACAAGGAGACAATAACGACCCTAACTGGGGACCTTCAACAGACCGTCCACAAAAACCACAAAACTCCCTTAATACTGAATCTAGGTTCAGCATAACCAAATCCCCGACTATGACTGTGACGCAGATATCAGAACAAATTGTGTCAGAAGCTAAATTAGTAGTGTTAGTGCGACACACAACCTCTGCAAAACGTCGAAAATCGCTTAGTCTAGGCTATGTTCTGTGAAGAGTTACCCAGAATTGAGAGGAGCATGGTTCGTCTCGCTACCGAAAACATACTCTACCAAAACAGTCTAAATAACAAACACAGCCAGAGACAAGAGAGGGAGGTGTTGGTCAGACTAGCACCAGCAAAGAAAGAGAATGAGCAAGTAAGGCAAGGTGTCTCCCCACGCGGGTGCGATCACGCGACTCATCACGTGACTCACCCGGCTATTCCAGCAAGGAGCCAGCAATTAAACAAGCGAGGTTGCAGTTAGTAAGGTAGTTTGCCAACTCAAGGGCAGCTACTCAACACTCGAATAAGGGAGCACAATGTAAAGTGTAAATTGTTACATCCTACCTACTGACATAAGCTAAGCCAAATAATTATATAAAGCTAATATTGAAAATATCAGCAATATAACATTATACAAAATGGTAAAATACATTATATACATTGAATATACATTGGGCCCTATTCTGGGGTGACAATATAAGCTTACATACAGTTGGTAATTTTGTCTTACACACCTCTTAATACTGTCTAACACCTGATATTTTTGTCTTACACACTTGTTAATGTTGTTTAATACCTGGTATTTTTTGTCTAACACTGTGAGGGAAAAGCTCAATAGATAGGAGTAGCGAGGGAGTATATAGTAACAATAGTTTCATTGCCGGCTACTTGTTAAGGTAGGGTCAGTCTAGCTCCCACTATCCCTTCCCCTCCTTCTTCCCCCCCCCCCGAAAGGTGAGTGTGGGGCTCCGGTCCAAACGTTATCACTAGACTCACGCTCCCAGACTACTTAAGTACGCCTCCCTTTGGGGTCTTCTAGTGGTTTTTATTGGAAAAAATTCATTTTTGACCAATAATAAATAGTCCTTTCAGTCTTGCTCTAAGTTGATGTTGTAATAGTCACCACATCTTTTAGGTATTTTACTTTAATGGAGATTTATTTCTTTGCAGGGGGTAAACCCTTTTTCTTTTCCCGCTTAGATGACAGAAAGGGCACCTGCCAATCAAAGAGTAAACTGTGGGGATGGGCTAACGTCCTGAACTTCCCCTTTTTTTTGGATTTAATTACTGTCACTGTTGAAATTTTAGGGCGTAACCCCCTCATTGCAGTTAAAGAACCCGCTTTTTTAAACGGATATAAAAACCAGGCTAACTGGTTGGGGGCCAGTCACGACCCATTAGTACCTTTGTAATCTTTTGACTACCGCCCCCAGGATGGGTATGGGGTGCATAAAGATATTAAACTAAAGTGTGTGTGTGTGTGTGTGTGTGTGTGTGTGTGTGTGTGTGTGTGTGTGTGTGTGTGTGTGTGTGTGTGTGTGTGTGTGGTGTGTGTGACTCAACAATCAATATTTGCACCAATAACTCATTACAGTTGTGACCGGGTGTGGAAGTGTGAATTGCTCATTACTCTATAATTTGTTCATGATTGTAGCCAAAGTATAAACGTAAGTAACCATTCTACAGAATTCATTACCTTTGTAACTTGTGAGCTCGTTACCTTTGTACCTAGTTCAGCTATCAAAACTTTGGGGGCCCAGTCCCTGGACCCATTACGTACCTCTGTAATCTGTAAATACCTTTGTAGCTTGTCATGATTGTGACCAGACTTACCTGGAGTTCATTACCTTTGTAAATTGTGAGTTCATTACCTTTGTAAATTGTGAGTTCATTGCCTCTGTAACTTGCTCAGCTATCAAGACTTTGGAGTCCAGTCCCTGGACCAATTATGTACCTCTGTAATCTCTTGACTACCGCCCACAGGATGGGTATGGGGTGCATAATAAACATATTAAACTAAACTAAAAACTATACTGTGAAGAATGAACCGGTGGGTTGGAACCAACACCTGTGATCCCCCCCCCCCTATCATCAGCAACGGCTACAATTTCAACAACACGCAGTGTCACCAACACCAGACACCCAAGTTTTATATTAGCGTTGAATTCAGTTATCATTTATATTTTTCATTTTTCATTTTCTTTAATGTAGGATTAATACTTCATATTTAAGTGTTTTATATTTTATATTTTCTATATAATAAAGTGTTTATGTTTGTCTGTTATTATTTCTTTTTCTATTCATTAATTTACCTGAGGAGGAGCCAGCCTGGGTAATACTGTCTGAAGTTGTTACAGGGCTGAGTAAGCCTTCACAAACACACCTATTAATACTGTAATACCTGGTAATTTTGTCTTACCCATTAATACTGTTCTTCACACAGTAATATTGTCCTATACTTGGTTATACTGCTCTATACATCTAGTAATACTGTCCTACACTCCTGATATTCTCCTACACTTGGTAATACAACTGTACACCTTCATTTACACTGTCCAAGGGTAAGGTGCAGGGCATGTAATAATATTAATTATAATTATTTTCCTTACCTGACTTTGTTGACAAAGACGTAAAAATATTTGAAGTTTTATACTTGAGATTATTCCTCATAAAAAAAAACGAGAATCAACGAATTGAGTGAAGAAGAAAAAAAAAATGTTAATAAATCGCAAGTGATATTTGATGTGTCCTGTACAAGGAAGAGTGGTGAACTAAACACTTGATCAGGCAGACAGTCAGATAACCTTGGATGCTCTCTTGGCAACCTTCCAAAAGCAACACCGACGTAAACATCATCTTTTTCCTCCCCAAAAGAAAAGAAACACACACACACACACACACTGTACACCGTGTATGTCAGGCCCATACTGGAGTATGCAGCACCTGTTTGGAACCCGCACTTGATAAAGCACGTCAAGAAACTAGAGAAAGTACAAAGGTTTGCGACAAGGTTAGTTCCAGAGCTAAGGGAAATGTCCTATGAAGAAAGATTAAGGGAAATCGGCCTGACGACACTGGAGGACAGGAGGGTCAGGGGAGACATGATAACGACATATAAAATACTGCGTGGAATAGACAAGGTGGACAAAGACAGGATGTTCCAGGGAGGGGACACAGACACAAGAGGCCACAATTGGAAGTTGAAGACACAAATGAGTCAGAGAGATAGTAGGAAGTATTTCTCATCATAGAGTTGTAAGGCAGTGGAAAAGCCTAGAAAAAAAGA